TAGGTGTGTATATATATATATATATATATATATAAGTACTCTATTATCATATGGTTACCATAAAAGTTTTTACAAAAAAAAAGGGTCTATCCTACACTAGAAGTCAAAATTTATTTTGTAAATTATATTCCTTTTTTTCTTTTAATTCAATTTTTTCCAAAAATAATTTTATAAAAAAAATCATGTGTTAGCATATGCTTTTCCTCTAGAATAACATGCTCATCACGTGACTAACCCCATATTGCCAATCATACATAAGATTTTTTTTTCTTCCTTTTTTTCCAAATTTGACCAAAGAAAAATAATACTAAAATCATAAAGAGATCCAATCAAAATGCCCTCGAGGGTTGACGTAGTAATCACTGAAGTGAACGAAGAATTATGCAACTTCCAGCAAAAACAAAGAAACTCTAGGTGATATCATCTCATTTGGTCCTAATCCGATGGACAAAATTATAAACTGCAACATGTTGTTGGTCATCGACAGATGATATATGTTACGTAAAAGTCAATCAATGGATGTCACAAAATTAATCTGGACACCATGATTATTAAAAAAAATAAAAATTGAAATATGTGAAGTTTGTCTGTCCACATTTGTTATATATTTCCTAACACGATAAATAATATTTGGACTTATTAATACGTGTTGTTCAATCAACAATAGTCTTAGGTTAGTAATTTAATGATTAATTTACTAAACAAATTAATACTTAAATTTTATTGAGATTGAATTAATCTCTCCCGCGTTTTTCGCTTACCTAAAAAAAAAGTTAGATATATAAATTATAACCGACAAATTATCACAAATTTCCATGCAATTTCAACATGTTTTTGATATCCTATTGGCCTACCAATTAAATTCTAGTTTTTTTTTATTTATATTTTTGATAAATACAAAGAAATATAACATTTTATGTATTTGAGTTTATGGGGTATACAATTTGAGAATATTCTAAAAAAGATTTTTTTGATAAAAATCGAAATTTATAATATGTATCGTCGCTGGATGAATAAAAGTTAGTCGATAAAAAAGTTGTTGGTTTATAGTATTGGGTTATTGATTTAGTGGTTTTGGTAATGATTTTGATTTTTTTCTTATCGGATTATTGATTCTTAACGGTTTGAAGTTTCTTCTTAACGGGTTAACTGATAACCCGATAGTAAATTAAATAATAATATTTATACCATTTTGTATATAAAGTCCTCGACGTTAGAGTTTAATTTCCTATTTTTATTTTTTATTGTCACAAGCACTTGGTTATTCAACAATATAAAATTGTTTGTTTTTTATTGTCACCTTGTTTCTAAGTGATTTTCAATATTTTTTCTTTTGTGTAAAATCTTAACGGTTAAACGATAACCGAACCGATAAAGATAAAAACGGATAAACCAATATCTTAATAGATCTATAACGATTTAGCATCCCTACAAACCAATAATCAATAAGACAACGCGATAAACTTCAAAACCGAATCGAACCGACCGATACACAGCCCTAGTTGAAATATTCGCTACGTTCATTTAAATGTTATATGAATTAAATTTTAAAAATCGTAAAAAAATTCGATTAATGTCCATATACGTATAACATACTATTACTTCATTTACACATTATTGATGGGTAACGTGGACAACTGGACACATCAGATAAAATTTTCTGTATACATTTTCGATACAAGCAAATATAGTTAATTAATTCTAGATGGAATTAATTTTATCAAATTATTATTAATTAATATAGTATAGTACAACTTGTTTCTGACCTCTTAATTACACTCTCAAAAATATGTTTAAGAATTTTTAGAATATTTTAAAAGAATATCCTATCAGAAAAAATAAAATAAAATATTATATATGTGCTGTTGAATAATTAATCTTACAAGTAACATAAAATATAATTTTTGACTTTAGTTAA